TCAGGGAAAATTTGGGACTGCTATTATTTGGGAGAACAGCTTCTTTATTTGCTGCACCCTATGCCGGGACATTACATTGACCATATCTCATCTAGATTTCAAGTTGTCTGGCTTATTAGTTGAATATAATGCTGTTTATCTCATTGGGATTTTATTTTATACTGTTGCTGAATGTCATGCCTGAGATTTTATTTTAAAATTTCTGTAAAAACGTAGATGCTCTGTTTTTAGTGTTAAGATATTTTGGGTTTGTGGATGGATGGGGTTTTGGGCTGGGTTTTGTTTTTTTTTAAGAACCTAAGAATTGCCATGCTGGGTGAGAGAAAGGTCCAGTCCGGCCCAGTCTCTTATCTCCAGGAATGGCATGTGTTGAGTGATACATCCCCTGTCAAACCTTCCTAGTCCGAAGCAGATGGTTACATCCCCGACTGTGGTATTTAATAGCCCTGATGGACCTGTGCCCAATAAATTGGTCTAATCCCTTTTTGATTAGGCCTTCTTTATTTCATTACATACATTGCTCTCACCCTCATGCTCCTGCTTTAGTTAGCCTGAAACCAGGAGCAAAGGAAGGAATTCCTTGTCCTCGCAATAAATCCCCTAACTGATCTCTGATTCTCAATACATAGTGGTGGAGTGATGTATTCTGGAGCATAGTTTCTGTCTAGTTTTATTGTTGTCTAGCAGATTATGGAGGAGGGGTGTTTGTTGTTGCTGTTTGGTTTTTTACTTACAGAATTTTTCACAAGCAATTGTTCTCTTCAGTACTCAGCTCAGACTGTGTCTGCTTCATTTTCAGACCTGGAGAAGAACACTGCCTGCTCCAAAGCTTGTTTAAAACTCTTCCAACTATGCAGTTGGTCCAGTAAAAGATATCCTGCCCCCCAAATATCCCTGCATCTCTCAATAAGTAGCTTCCCAAAAAAAGGACTGGTTTTGTCCCCTCTTCTGTGGTATAGATTGCTTAATTTTGGTCAATGAAGGCATTCTTTTGACTGATGTTTGACCAAAGAAATTTGTCCTGAGCTTGTCCCTTTTCTACAGATACACTGTGACCATCCCTCATCAGCCCCAGAGGTGGACAGGCTGAGTTTATGGAGGCCAGAAAGAGCTGGGTGGGGGGAGGGTGTCTCAGTGGAGTTTTAGTTTGCTGTGCCCCAAATCATTTAAGGTGCATTACATTGCCGAATTTGCGACAGCAGCTGGAATTAATGCACAATATGCCACCAACACATGCAAACACCAATGCCATTAAAGCGGTGCGAAGGCATTTAACCCTCTAAAGTATTGTGCACACATGCCCCTTGTTTCGTCTACACATGGTCCATGATATCTGCAAATATCAGAAGGTGCAAATATCTGTGCGAGAGATAAATTAAGACAGAGAGTAGGGCTAATGATTTTTCTTTAGACAAAGGGGATTTTTTTCAGGTTGAGTATGGGTAGGGACCATGGAGGAAGGGTTTCCCCATTTTGGTCTGGAGCTCTGAGCTAGACCTGTTTTCTAGGATCAGGTGGCTTAGCTCCCAGGATCCATTTCCTTTAGTGTGTGGATGGGGACTGGGAGCTATGATGCCTCCCAACCTTTCTTTGAATGTTCCCTATAGACCTGTGGAGCAGGACAGTCACAGGGGGAGTGGGACCCCCACTGTGTTATTGGAGCCCCTGTGTGTGCATGTGTGAAGGCTTCATTTCCCCTTGCAAAGAGCAGCAGATGCCAGGCAACTACCAGAGACCCATTCCTGGATCCTGCAAAACAATGTAGTAGGTGTTACTGCTATATGGCCTTATTTTATAAGAGGGCAGAGATTGTGCAGCTCAGAAGACTGAAAAGATGGCTGCATTGGCTAGAGTGGTGTATAGCAGGCACTGAGCAGGCTTTTCTCAGGGCACCTAGTGTTGACCTGTATCCCCCTGCTCTTCCAGGGCACCTAGTGTTGACCTGTATCCCCCTGCTCTTCCAGCCTCGGGTTCTTCCCCGTAGTTGTGCTGTATCAAGTCAGCATTGAGGGGTAGACCCTCCCTTTCCTACTCCATTCCCTCACCTCAGGCAGCTGTGCTGAAGCCCCTGTATCAGTGCCATAGCGGGTGTGGGGGGAGAGCGGGGCATCTGCCCCGGTGCTGAAGCGAAGGAGTGCCAACAGGCACTGCCCAGCTGGGGCAGGGCGTGGGATGCAGCCACTTGAGGCTTATTTGGGGGGGCACAGGGACAGGGCAGCTCCTGCTGCTGTGTGCACTCCTTGGCAAACATGGTGGGGGAAAGAGCCCCCCCAGATCTGTGTGCACGGCGAGGGCGGGCTGCCGCTGTGGGCTTTGCCCTGGGTGCCAAACTGCCTTGCCACGGTACTGACCTGTATTCGGAATTACAGCTTCTTCTCTTGTTTTCTGGCTTGCTCCCGCCTGTGGTCCTGCCAATGACCTCAGCCCTGCCCTACTGTTCCTGGCCTTCTGAGCATGGCTTGTTGCACCTGGGGCTGCTGGAGGTGGCTCATGCGTGAAACGTGACTCCGCTTGTCATTAGTACATTTCCTTGGGCTACCACCTTGTCTTACTTAAAGTTAATAAGCCGATGATGAGGAAGCTGCTTTTTGGCTTTGGCAGGCGAAGCTGGCGGGATGAGTCCAAGCAGAGTCCCTGCACTGCCGTGTCTGTCTCCTCACATTTTAGTTAATTACAGCAGGCGCACTGCCAACCCCTTTTTCCCTTTAGTTTTTTTATTTGCATTAACAATGGTGCCTTTATTTTCAAACATTCCAGTGTGATCATTACACTCTACATTAAGATGGAGCTTCCTTGGCAGCTAATGAGAGCTCTGGGCAAATGCAGGGTTTGGCTCTCCAATGGCTTCCTCTTTGCATTCTGGGTGTGTGGTCCAGTGGTTAGAGCAAAACTTCAGGAGTGCAGATAACTTGGGTTCTGCTTCTGGCTCTGTCACTGACTTGCACAACTCATGAAATTACTCTGTGCTTCAGCTGCCAGATCTATCAACTGAAGGAATCAAGACACCACCTTCCAGAAGGTGTTCTGAGGCTTGACTCAATGACTTTGCACCCCACAACTATAGTGCTAAGTAAATTCAAAACATCATTGTTCTGCCATTGATGTCAGTGGGAGTTACTCATCCCCTCAAGTAAGAGAACAAACCTCCAGAGAGCACACATGCAGAGTAAAAAGGTGCTGTTTTATAAGGTAATGGGCTATCACAGTCTCCCTAATCTGGCTGGGCAGATTGTTTTCAGATACTGTCATTTTCTAGAGAGTCGTAATCCTAGCCACTCACCTGCAACTCAATCACAATACACGTTTCCCTTGCTTTATGTGCGCTCTGTATGTGCAAATTCACTCTTACATGATATGACCCTTTTTATACCAAAAATGTGTTATATGCGAGGTAAATTCACTGTTATGTGATTGGTGTGGTGGAACCCCGCAGACAGCTGCTTTGTGTAGTGCATTGTGGGAGTGATGCACACCAAAATATAGACTGTGCTCCTCGCTCATTGTCTGAGACATATTTTTCTGTAGTTGCCATCCCCATTATGATAGCGCCCTGTGCTTGTATGTACTGTCTGCCCTTGCTGTGGACCAAAATTGTCTTGTAAAAGTGGTAGAAATGGGTCTGGGGATCAGTCAAGTCGAGGTCTTTGAATGTATCCCTATTTGTTATATTGTAAAGTGGGTACCCTTTATGCGAATTCGAGTTATGCACCTTTTTCCAGGAACACATGTACAGCATAAAGCGAGGGAAACCTGTATGCTACCACACACAGCCACATCCTCTGCTGTCAAACCTCTCTCCCCAGTCTCTGGAGTCCCATATACCAAAGCCTGAAACTATTTTCATTAGGCTTGATCTATGGGAGCATTCACACTCGCACAGTGAACTCCTACAATTCTGTGTCAGGAAGCATGGGGCTCACTGTAAAAACTGAGAGTGATTCTCCGAAACATTTCTTCTTGTATTGCTCCAGAGTCATTGTCAGCAATATAGTGGGGATATCCCCACTGGGTCACAGAACTTCTTTAGCATCTCTTGTTACAAATGCTTGCTTTTTTGCTTGCCTAGAGTGTGTGAATGGTTTCCTTTACTTATTTTACTATTCCAGCCTGCATTCTACACTCACCTGGATTCCAAGGGCCTGCTTAGGCTGTCATTTTACACCCATGTTAATCACAAGTAACTGCACTGAAATCAATGTATTTACACCTGGGCAAAACTGGCGTGAGATCAGAATTGAGCCCAGAGTGTTACGCGGTGTCAGTCAACTGTGCATTTCCATCTGTCAGAGAGAGATAAGCATGGTTGTTGGCCCTCTGCTTTGACAAGAGTTACTGATCCGACATACCAGACTATAACCGTATGATTTGCAAGTGAATTTGAAATGGAAATTGAGCAGTTTGTAGTCATCCAGAGAATGTATTGAACTCCACTTGCATGTTCAAAAGTAGCCTGTTGGATGGGCTGTGGGCTTGGCAGCATGGGGATCAGGAGTAATTTGACACCTGTTACTTGACAAAGTCCAAATATCAATGATTTCCAGACAAATATTGTAAGTGTTGTAGAAATTACCTGGAACCATAAGTTATTAGCTGAGCCAGAATTATATTCCCTTTGTGAGTGCTGAGGTGAGGAAAGCCTGAGGAAGGGTACTGTGATAGCCAAAAGCGTGCCTATGTCAACACCAGCCATACAACTGGTCCAATAAAAGATATCACCCAAGAATTCTTGCTTCTCGTATTTCCTTTGTGATATCTTTTGTCAGGACTACAGTCTTTCTGAAAGTGGGCTGCACTCTCTTTACTTATACAAAGAGACTGGTCCACTGAAAGTGCACTGCTCTTGGGTGTGCGTGTCTGTCTCAGTCTGTTAACATTTCCCAGTTGCGTGCTACCTTGGTAATAAAACACTGTGTTCTGTTTTGAAGGCTCTTTTTTTGACGTGGCAGAAATCCTTTCCTATGTGTAATAAGGTGGTAAACTACCATTTTTTCTTGCTGCAGGATCTGGGAGTCTCCCCTGCTTCGAGCAGCAAAGGAGAATGATGTTCAAGCCATCCAGAAGCTGCTTGCTTGTAGTGCCTCTGATATTCATCAGAGAGGTAGGGGCCACCCTCCACTAATTAGTGATAGATAGGTAACCTGCAAGGAGATGAGGCCCTGGGACTGGAGGTAGGAGGTTAAAAATGTTTCCAAAACCATAGCTGAAAGTGACATTGCTAGGTTGGGAGAAAAGTGGGATGCCCTGAGATTTGTTCCTTTTGGTAGAATGCTTCTCTGCGAGATTTGCAGAGGAATGTATGACCCCCACAGAGATATATGACCTTCTCTGTCTAGGTGCCACAGGGGAGACAGCCCTTCATGTGGCTGCGTTGTACGATAATGTGGAGGCTGCACAGATTCTGATGGATGCTGCTCCTGATCTCATCAATGAAGCCATGACATCAGAACTCTATGCAGGTAAGAATGCCAAAGTGAGCGGGCAAGGGTCAAGAGCCCTGGCTGGGTGTAATGTGATACAGTATCTGTGCCCATGTTACATTTGTTTCCATATTCTAAAGAGCTCTTTATAAATGACCTGTTGGAGGAGTCATTTTTTACTGCTCCATCACAGCACTTTCAGTAACCCTTAGGTTACTTTGATTCCCAGTAGGGCTCCAGGAACCAGAATTTATGCTATGTGCCTTTGAAATAGGTGCATGTAAAAATTCACTTCATCCTGGGAGGATATCCTCTTATCAGCTCCCACTCAGGGCTCAGTGAGTATGCCCTGACTCATAACTAAACAGAGTCAAGTTTTGCATGGGAAAACCTCCAAGTCTAAGTGTTGTGGGAAGTAGTATTATTTCACAGGAATATAGGACTAGAAGTGGCCTCTTGGGCTGTTGAGCCTAGTGCCCTGCAGTTTGCAGGCAACCATGTATCCAAAACGTGTCCTAAAAATCATGCACTTTAGTTCCTCACACACTACAGCCACAAAGCAGCCACAAAGTGCCACAGGACAGGCAAGGGCACTGCTGATTTCCTGCCACTAAAGTTAACAGATTAAGATATGGCCGGATGGTCTTAGGAAGAGGAAGGTGTCTCTCAATGCAGAAGCAAGGAACAAAACCCCACAATCCTTTGCCAGTCTGACTTGACAGAAAAATTCCTTTCTGACCCCAAGTCTGATAACTGGTCTGACCCCAAGCAGAAGATCAAGGCCCTCCAGCTAGGTATATGATAGATTCCTATGAGCACCAGGCCACCCTATCCTAAACTCCCACCTCTGGCTGTGCTCCTATGTCCAATGATTCAGAAGGAAGTGAGGAGGGAAAGTACACATGCAGAAGTCAATAAAGTGTGTCCTACAGGCATCAGCAGAAGCCCATGGGATTTCCAGACACCTTTACTATGGAGATTGTAAATGTTTGACTCCTTATATCAATCCGAGAACATTGCTGTCCCATTACACTGTCCTTTCCATAATCCTGTCAAGCTTCACCCTGAAGTGCTTCAGGTGCTTTGTTCCAACTGTGTTATGCAGAGAGCTATTTCAATCTTTGGCAGCTGATGCTGGTCCATCTGCATTCGAACTGAACTTGGTCCTGCAGAAAGTCAGGTTAGTGAGATCTGATACAGGAAGTGGGGAGAATCAGGGAAGAAAGCTGTCCTCTGAGTCATGCCTAGCCCCACTGCCTAGTCACATGCTGTTAGGGGAATGCAGTGCTGCCCCATGGTCTTTGAAAAGAGACGTGAAGCACAGGGCATACATGCCTGACTATTAATCCCACTGTCTGGAATAAATTTCAATTTGGACTTCATGTTCTACCCCAGTGAGTGCTCGGTGGAATATTTCTGCACCAAGAGCAGTGGTGGTATTCTGCATTGCTTAAGAGTTGCCCCCTCCTTCCCCTAAAAACAGGCTGCACAAAAGAGGGTGTGTGATCTAGTGGTTTGAATAGAGAACTGGGAAGTAAGCGACTTGGATTCTTGGTTCTTTGTCTGTTAGTGAGCAAGTTGTTTTGTTTCCCTGGGCCTTGGTTTTTCTATCTGTAAAAGAAGGTTTATGATTTCAAGCTCCTGCACATGGGTGGAACAAGGCGTTGATTTAATACTTTGCAAAGTATTTTGAGCTCTTCAGATAATGGAAAGTGTTACAGATATGTACAATATGAGTAGGACCACAACTAACATTAACAAGACACCAAAACGTGTTAATGAGAATTGGGAGAAGGAACTATGGTGCATGTTGTTCATGTTCAACAGCAGCCAATTCCCCACCTTTGGGCTAAGAAACTAAGATTGTGTTCAGGAAAAATTGGGTGCAATTCCGTTAAACTGGCCTGAATCTAAATCATCTTCCCTAAAGTCACTGTGCCGTCCATGTAAATAAGATAGAGCATGGACTGGGGTTTTCAAAGGAGCCTTCAGTAAATTAGACACTCACATGACTCTGCAATTCCTTGGGAAATCAGTGTTTGAGGCCCTTGGAAAAACCTGTCTTTTCCCAGTTGAGTTTCTCGGTTATTCACAGTGGCCTACATGAGACACTTAATGCGCAATGGCCTAATAACACCTCGGAGTAGCACGTCACAGCACAGACAGTGCTAATATGGTAGAGCACAGTCACTAAAAAGGCATTCACTGGTGTTACTGTGCATTAACTGTAGTTACTGTGCATTTACTTAGTGCTTCATTAAGCAAGTACTAAATTAAATGTGCAGTAACTATTGCACATTAATGAACGTATAGACATGGCCAGTGGGATTGGTTTCTGGGTCTTTTAGTGTGATGCAGATAGCACTAAAGAGGACTTTTTGTGTGTTGCAGGTGAGACCGCTCTCCACATTGCAGTGGTGAATAAGAGCTTCAGCCTGGTGAAGGCAATGTTGGACAAGGGGGCTGATATCAATAACCCACAGGCCACGGGATACGTCTTCAGGCGCAGCAGCCACAACCTCATCTACTTTGGTATAACACCATCCGTAGACCTCTCCTGCCCCCAGATTCTTCTTCACTGTCCCATTTGGGGTTCTATGAACTATCTGGGTCTATTTCTGCCTGTTCCCTCTCTGCCATCCAGTCATCTCTCCGCTGTCAGTGAGACCTCATGTGCTGTGGAAATGCCTAGGTACAGAACGTCCAGGCAATCTGTACCCTGCCTGGAGCAGCATTTCAGAAGTCCATTTGCCTATGTAGATGCATCCTACATCTCATCCCTTGCAGTTGGAACTGAAGTATAAATCAGTGGAGTGATGTCTGTCTGAGTCTGCAGGCAGCCTAAAACTACAGCTCTGAAAAGGACCAGCCTGGAAAAGACCAGTCATTTTAAACATGGAGCTGAGCCTGGGATCTAATTTTGGTGATGGTCACATAAGAAATGTAGCTATTTCCCCGTTGTCCATTCTAGCAGCTCCTATGCTAATCCCAAATTTTCTCAGGTTCTCAGAGTACCAGATGTTCGTTCCCACCCCCCCACCCACCCACCCCCAG